AGGGGAACTCTCGATTCTCTTGCTTTTTAATATTTTTATTTGGTTCTTCACGTTATTTTCTTTTGAGCTGTTTGTAAATTGTTTAGGGGAGTGAAAGGCTTAGTACAAATTAAGATGAATCAATCCGACTCAGGGAGTTGTGGCTTGAGTTTCTTCCCCTTCCCCTGAAGGAAAAACTAAGAGTATCTCCCAAGCACACACCTGTAACCCTCACCTCCCCCGATGTTCTCGCCCTAGTTCTCCGGATGCCCATTTTCTTGGATACCCGTTTGTCTCTGAACCTCTGCAGCTTAATCTCTACCCCTCAATATCAGACCAGGACAGGAACCATTAAAATCTCATCGAGTAGTCCGCACAATCTGGGTTTTATTCAATGAAATAAACACTTAATGACAAACATCTGTCGGAGCCTAAATCCTAATTACTTAACCTAGCCATCTGTAATTTTAATGATTTTCTGCAATTTTTGTTCTTTGCAGCGTGATTAATGGGGCCGGCGTGGGGAGGTGGCGGTTCTGTGTCTCCATCCTCGGCTCTCCCGCCTGCAGCTTGCACAGTGTTGGGCAGGGGGCACGGGTGCGGCTTGCGGTCAGCCAGCTGGTGGTGCCGCCCGGGCCCGGGCGGCCACACTCAGCTTGAACCCCTGAGTCCAGCAGCTCGGAAATGCGACGAGTGCAGGAGGCACATGGGGCGTAGGGGAGGCGGCGGAAGAGAAAGGGAGGGAGAGGAGTCATGGGGGAGGTCAAGCGGGGGAAGGGAAGAGTTGCGGGGAGAAGACACGAGAAGGAGGAGAGATTGGAACTGAGACTGAGGGCAGAGGAGAAGGGGGGAAAGAAGAGGGCCCTGGAGGCAGCAGAGAGCAGGTCCCCATGGAATTGCTGGCTGCAGCCTTTTTAGAAAGCTCGAAGGGGAGACAGAACCAGCCTGTGCCTTCCTGGAACATGATTACTTCTCGCCTTCCAGCTCCCCGGCAAATGAAAGGGCTGGGCTGTTTGTGCTGGGAATTTCAGCCCCCAAAGAGACAGGAAGAAGCACCGCTTTTCAAAAGGCAGTTGCTAAGTGAGAATCCTTGAGAAGGATCTGTTGCTGTTTGAAGCTGTTCACCCTTTCTTTCCACATTCTTTCAGGTGAGGGGTTTCTGTAACACTTTCCCCTCCCTCTCTGGGGGGTGGGAGGGGTTGCACCGAGACCATGGGTGCAAGGCTCCTGGCACCGAGAGGCAGACTTAGGCTCTAATCTCACTCTCCCGTGCCTCAGTTTCCTCATTTGCCACGGAGGGCTGTGTGACCACTCTTGCTGGCTATTGGGATGTCGTAAGGAGGAAAAAGAGGTGGGGGTGGGATACTTTCGTGGGAAGTGCTGCTGTGGCCTTCAGCTCTGTGCACGGATGAAACAAACGGAAGGGAGCGCCCCGGTCCCCTAAGCTAGAAAGAACACATGTCTCGATTTTGCTGGCAAGGAAACCACAGGGTTTGGCCAAGAGAAAGCCGACTGAGGTACAACCACAATCTGGGACCCAGGACCGGCTGTCCCCTCCCGGTGACCGGGGCTAGGTCTCAGGCTTGCCCTTAAGCTCCTCACACCTCCCCTCTGAAATAGGCTTGTACTCTTGCTCTCTGCCCCCCAGCATGGAGGGAGCCTCTGGAGACACCCCCTCCCTGAATGCCCCCCAACATTCTTGAGGAACATAAGGTGCTGAGGCTTCGGGAGGTCTGAGACTGGGATTGGGAAGGAGAAAAATGAGGTCAGGAGGGTTGCTTCCAGGTGACAGGACACGCGGCCCCGGCTCCACCCGGCACAGCGTCTCACACACTAAGTGAGCAGCAGGGCGGTCTTGGCTTCCTCCTCCTCTGGGATGCCCTCCCTGATCATTCCAGGCCAACTGAGGGGCTTCACTCTGCTTCCACAGGGGGAGCAGCATCCCTCTCAGGGGACATTCTGGGAAACTGATTAAGAGGTCTGGTGTGTTACCACTTGATCTGTTACTGTCCTGCCACCACTACCACGAGACTATGCCAGGCTGGCCTCCCTGCTGGGCCAGGGGAAGCAGGAGAGATAATGTGGAGCAGAACTGCCCTAGCCCAGATTCGCTGAATGAGTTGTTTAGACGAGCTGATCCCCAGCCAGATTAGGAATCCGGAGCTAATCCCTCCCCCCTCCCCCCAGGTGCTCCAATGCACGAGCGGCACAAATGCTTCGCGTTACATGCTTAGTGAGATTTAGGGGCTGGTCGTTACACAGCATTTCTAGCAAAAGCTACCTGATGTATTTACTGATGCCTATCCCAGTGGCTGGCAGATAGCATGCTGAATAAGCCCATTCAATGAATAACTGTCACTTGAAGACAGCATTATAGCCCATTTTATCTTCCCGAGAATCTCCTAAAGTGGCCTAGCATAATCAGCCCCAAATTACAGATGAAGAAGAATCTGAGGCCCCGAAGCGTTACAAAACTGTGACCCAAGATCACAGAGCAAGAAAACGGCAAGGCTGGTATTTAAATCCAGGTCCTGTGCCTCCGAGGCCAGTACTCTCTTCGGCACGTGTGCGCACGGCCAGCCCTAGAGACCCGTGAGAGGCACGGGCTGGCTTCCTCGTTGGGTCCTTACAAATTCCCCAACTGGGTCCCAGGGAAGGCCTCTCGCCTGCCTGCTTGTGGTCAACGTGAGTGCTGATGGAAGGGCTGAGACCCTCAGAGAGTAACTGGAAATACGTCACACGGAACTTTTATTTCATGAGGGCAAGATGCCAAATGTGGGACAGCCTGGGTTGGAGAGCAGGCAGCAGATTCCTTTCCTGATGTTCTGCTGTGAGTCCTTCCGGTCCGCCAGCCTCATTCAAATACCGGAGCCACGGTGGCAGGACCGGGAAGACAGGCCTGCATCCGGCTGGGAGGGATGCGCCTGGTCCTACCGTGACACTGTGCTTGAAGACATCCCGCGCTGTCCCTAACGCACCTACTGACAGTGAGAATCCCCCTTCTTCAGATGTTTCACCCCTGCCCACTCCTTTCTACGGATTCTCACTTCTTTTGGGTCTAAAATACGTTGTTGGGATGTGCTCCTTAAGCCTTTCCTGAAACTCAGTTCTCAAGTGCCCTTCTCCCACCTGGCTTCTTGATCAAAGCCCCCTGAGCTTTGCATGAGCTCTGACCCTTTAGTTACTTCTTCCTCCCTAAGATTTCTACCAGGCTATGCAATCAAAGAAGTACAATGTTTGCTGGGAGGTCACTCTGTCCATGCCCCTGCCTTCAGCAAGTCTACCACTGGATGACCGCCTTGGCCAACCACTTAGGTGTCCATTGTGCAGATGTTCAGAAATGTCCTTGCCCCGGACGTGTATCAGAGGCAGGTGTGCCCCTATTTTTTACATGTTTTTTATATTTTTTACTTATTTTCAGAGAGAGAGTATGTGCACAAGTGGGGGTGGGGCAGAGAGAGAGACAGGGAGGGAGAGATGGACAGACAGAATCCCAAGCAGGCTCCATGCTGTCAGCATAGAGCCCAACATGGGGCTCGATCCCACAAACCGTGAGATCATGACCTGAGCCGAAATCAAGAGTTGGATGCTCAACTGACTGAGACACCCAGGTGCCCCATATGGCTCCCATTTTAAAAGCCACAGAATGCCCCGTTCCAGTGGGGTGCCCAATTCCCCTGCATCTCTCAGGCCTACTTCTTTTCTGGTTCTTTCTATCTCTAGCTCACTGTTTTCCACCTGCCTCACTTACTCACTCATATGACAAATACCCACTAACTACTTTCACTTCGCCAGGCCGACTGACAGAGGCAAGAGAACGATGGCCCTAGAAAGAGGTAAGATGGCCGAGGAGTTAAAACTCTGAACTGGGTTCTGATGCTAGTTCCTTTGTTCACTAGCCATGTGACCCTGGGCCGTTCACTTAACCTTTCTGGGCCTCAGTTTCATCAGCTGTGAAGTGGAGATACTGACGGCAGCTCCTTCAGGAAGTTACGTGAGCATCACCTGAGCTGTCTTATGGGGCTTCATGGGGCTGACATGTCACACGGCTGGGACGGGACCTAGAAAGCCAGGCAATCCCAGTCCCCTGAGAACTTGCCTTTTACCAGACGGACACAAGCACACATACTTGACCTGTCCTCACAGAGTAAGGACATCAGACCCAGCGGAGTATGCCAGGGACGACTTCCCTTCCATCACATACACCGCAGGGGAAGGGAGTACACAGAGGAAAAGCGTGGGTGAGGGCATAAAGGAAGCCTCCCCGGATGAGGACCTACTCAGGGCGGTGGTCCAGTGTGATGGAGAGAACCGTGGACCCGGAATCAGGAGTCTCCAAATCGAATTTTGCCCTGCAAAAGCCCTGGCGTTAGACTTTGAACAAGACCTCCACGGCCCCACCCTTACCCCCACTCCCAGTCTGGGCTTCAGTTTCCTTTATTGAAAAATGAGGAAGCAGATGAACTAAAAGTGCTTTCCACTCAGAGGATTCTTTTTTTTGTTTGTTTTTAATGTTTATTTATTGAGAGAGAGCGAGCGCCCACGATCAGGGGAGGGGCAGAGAGAGAGGGAGAGAGAGAATCCCACGCAGCCTCCACACTGTCAGCAAAGAGCCTGACACGGGGCTCGATCTCACAAACCACGAGACCATGACGTGAGTCAAAGTCAAGAGTCAGCCGCCTAACCGACGGAGCCACCCAGGTGCCCACAGTCAGAGGATTCTTGGATCCTAAACTCAGGCAGGCCCCAGCAACAGCATGACCGGGAGTCTGGCCACAGGGGGATGCGCAGACATCACTAAACGACGGCTCCGTGGCCCTGCAGGGCGGTCGGCCTGCTCCCCTCCACCAAGCTCTCCGTTTACAGCTCATCCCCGTCAAACCTCTCTCGTAACCACTTCCCAGCACCCGTACACACCTCCCTCTGAGCTGGGTGGGGCCGGGCGGGCTCTAGGAGGGAGTGTGTGTGTGTGTGCAGGTGAAGGGGCACCGGGGGTAGCGGGGGCTCCGGCAGGTACTTACCGCAGGGCCAGTGAAGGGCACGTGGTCGCAGTTCTCCTGCCAGGACTGGTTGAGGCTCTGGGCAAACTCTTGGAAGAAAGCATGCGACTGGTTGAAAATGGAAAATCCCAGGATGTTGACACGATCATCCACGAGGCTGTCCATTCTCTGGAGCGAGAACTCCTGGAAGACCGGGCAGTCAGAGAAGAGGGTTAGGTTAGCCAGGGAAGAGGTGTGGGGACGCACTTGGCTGGGGCGCATCTGGGGGGCACATCTGGGGGACCAGAAGGACTTCTGGTCCAACGGACACTTGCGGGCGGGCACCCTGCTCGGTACTCAGGGTCCAGAGAGAACCACGGGTTGTTCTCAGAGGGCTCACGGTGTTGAGGGAGGGGAGGAGAAAAGAAGCGAAAAAAGCGGAATGATCTCTAAGAGAGGTGAGTGCGACACGTGCTGTACGGAGAGAGGAAAGAAAACAACAAAACTAACATGCCTGGTGGGAGCAGGGCTGTGTCCAAAGAAGACGCGACCCGTGAGCTGAGTCTTGAAGGAGGCAGAGGCATTTTCTGGGTGGGGAATGTAGATGGGCAAAAGCGATGCCACACAGAAGTGGCCATGATACAAAGGCATGGAGGTGAGGAAGTGTGACCCCCCCCCCTCAGCCAGCTGCCTGCGAGGTACTTTGACAGGGCATGGCTCCTCAAAGTGTGGTCTCCAGAGCACCTGCCATCGGAATTCTCCCGGCTGTCTTTTTTTTCGGTTTGTTTATTTATTTAGTTTTGAAATCGAGCGAGAGAGAGCATGAGCAGCGGAGGGAGACAGAAAATCCCAGGCAGGCCCAGTGCTGTCAGCACAGAGTGCGATGATGTGGGGCTCAAACTCGCGAACCATGAGATCATGACCTGAGCGGAAATCAAGAGTTGGATGCTTAACCAGCTGAGCCACCCAGGTGCCCCAGTCTCGTGGGTAACTATTTATTTTAAATTTTTTTTTCATGTTTGTTTATTTTTTGAAGGAGAGAGACACGGAGTGTGAGTGGGGGAGGGGCAGAGAGAGAGGGAGACACAGAATCTGAAGCAGGTGTCAGGCTGTGAGCTGTCAGCACTATGCCCGATGTGGGGCTCGAACCCACGAACCGTGAGATCGTGACCTGAGCTGAAGTCAGATGCTTAACTGACTGAGCCACCCAGGCACCCCTCCTGGGTAATGGTAAAGAAAAAAAAAAGTGACAATCCCTGGGCCCCACCCAACACCATCTGAATCATCTGAGCTGAGGCCCAGGAGTCTACGTTTTTAGCAGGTGCCAAGGCTGTTTGCACACCGATGTTTGGGAGTCACTGGGTGAGCACGTCGGATGCAGGGGCGTGGGGGATGGTGAGAAATAAGGCCAGAGAGGTCAGCAGAGGCCAGAGCACAGGGGCTTTTTCCTGTAGGTGATGGGACCCGAGGGGACTGTCAACAGAAGAGTGGCCAAACCAAGTTTGCTGTGGAAGAATCTCAACCTGCCGGTCTGCACAGAGGGTTGTGCCTTCACTTGTTATTATATTTTTTTCCATTCATTTAACAGACATTCAAGTGTTTATCATGAGCTAGACACAGGCACAAAGGATGTTCTGGGTACAGAAGATACGAACAAGAGAGATACGTGTCTTGCCTCAAGGAGCCTGTGGGCTAATGGAAGAGGCAGATTGTAAGCCCGTAAACAAATAGATATAATTTTGGTCATCTATGGGAGGCCGTAGTGGGGGGGGGGGTGCTGCTACTTTAGAAGAGGCAGTCAGAGAAACCCCATGCGCAGCAGTGACGTTTAGAAACTCAAGGGAATTCTCCCAGGACCCGTGGCCCTCTTGCAATCCCTGGGCCGGAGCCACCGGATCCCTCAGCAAGCTAGAACCTGCGGGCATGACTCCCATCAAGGCTAGTCCGTGTCAGAGGGAGAAGAATCGCCCTCCGCAGGCAGGGCTGAGCTCAGCGTCCAGGACCTCTAAGGCTCTAGGCAAGGAAACCAGGCAAGAGGGTGTGGATTGGTTTAGCTCACCAATCCTGCTCCTGGAAGAATTCTCCGAACGCAAGTCAGGTCACTTTCACCCACTGAAGTCACATTCGTCACACGTTCGCTCTGAGTACCTCACACACGGCTCCACACCCCGTGGGCACACAGTAGTTACAGACCCCAGGACTAACCCATCGGCCACTCTGTCTGACATGACAGATGGGAGGTGCCTGGGGCTTACTTTCCGGCTGGGCAGAAACATTGCTTTCCTTCAGGCAGACTCCCTTCCTTAAGACTTAGCTCCTCCAGGCCCCTGGCCTGTCCCCTCACATCTAGAGCCACTGCCAAGGCCACAGGCCTGATCTCCCGTGCCCAGAGTCTAGCCTGATAAACTGCAGCTTACAGACCGAAGCTACAAAGATTCCTTTGGAGCCTCTCACCCCTGAGAGCGTGGAGTCGGATGAGGATTAGGTAGATGTTAGATCCCGCCACGTTCCCGTTAGGGGAACACAGACACGTCAGAGAACGTATTGATTCATAAACTGATACGATCTCCGGGCTCTCAAACAGGGCAGCTGTCCATGCACCGTGGGCTCCCAGCAGCACAAGGCAGAGGTGGCTAAGAAGAAGATATGCATCTGGTAGGGGAGGGGTGTGGCGGGACAAAGAACCAGGCTGCTGTCAGGCAACTGAGGGGCCTCACCAGCTGGAAGATGTCCCCTCTCCCTTGGTTTCCTTGTCAATGTGGCCACAGATCATCTCTCCCCCACTTCCTCCTCTCCCCCACGCAGGCTGACAGAAGGAGGCTCATCTCAAGGGAGCCCTGACGTCTCAGGTGTCTGCAGACTCACAGAGGCCATAAGAGCATAGAGTGAATAGGGCTTTGGTGTTCAAATCCAGGTTCCGCAAATGCGTGCAAAAGGCTTGGCATCATCCTGGGCACACAGAAGCGCTCAACGTATGACAGTGACCAAAATCTGACCCTGAGATCTCAGGCAGCTTCTGACCCTCTACCTGAGTTCCACTTGCTGTGGAAACCTGAGTTGGAAAGGCGTTTCCTTCAACTCTGTGTTCTGGGCAGAGGAAGAATGAATGAGTTAATTACCAACACTTAGAGACAGCCCCTCCAGAAGTCAGCCAGGGTGTCTTTTTGCTTTTAATTCCTACCTTCTCATCCCTCAATTATATCCTTTTTCAAAGGCCCCCTTAAGATAAAAAGATCCAGCAGCTTCCTTGATAACTCAGTCTATTTATAGTGACTCACGGGAGAGCTTGTGGAAGGACAAGAAAGGGGGCGGTGTGTTCTCTTATCAAAATTTCCCGGGACGCTCTTAGACTCTGCTCCCTGAGTGCCCTCTCAGTTAGGAAGTGCCTCTTTATGTCTAAACCTGGCCTCTCCTGCCGCCATTGAAGGCTGATTTCTAAATGAACATGCAAAACCGCCAGTTTCTATACAATGAACATCTTCTAAGCCAGCGTTTCCCAAAGTGTGTTCCTCAGGACACTAGCTTTTCCAGGATGTTAACAGGAATTGCACAACAGCAAGGTTCCACGTTACGGTAAGAACAGACTGCTTATGACACCTGCCTTTTCACGATTCGTAACACACGCTAGCATGTTAGAGGCTTAAAGACGTCCTCCAGCAAAGCAGCTCGTTTATGTTTTGTTCAACCCAGAACCTTCCAAACGTGTTGACCATGGAACGCTTTTCCCCTCCAAAACCTGAGCGTCTCACAGTAGTGCTCTACAAAATGTACTCAGGGAAACGCTACTCTAAATGCATTCAAGGAAACATGGCTTATAAACCCCAAATCAAGCGGTGGAAACATTTTGCTGAGAGGGATATTTCCTAAAGTTAACACATTTGAGGACTGGAGGGATTAAAAGCCATCTGGTTCCTGCTGCCCACCACAAGCTCTAAGAATGCACACCTGGCTCCCTTGGGTTCCCTATGTTCCCCTAACCACACAGCCTGGCTGGCTGCAACCTTACTTGAAAGGAGAGGAAGGACTGGAAGCCGTGGGGTGGGACAGATTCTTACAGGAGCCTTCATTCTCTTCTTGTAAGTGCTTCAGGAAGGGAAATCCTAAGGGTCCCCACTCCCAATGGGAGTGGATTCCATCGTTGTGACACCGCGGGAAAGCAGGGGGAAGAGCAGATGGTAAAGCCGAATGGCAGAGGACGTCAAGACCAAATCTTCCGTTACTCCAAGTCTGAATGAATTTGTGACAGGCTCTGTACTGCACCTAGAGCAGGGCCTGATACCCAGAGGCTCTTTGGTAAATGTTGGCTGAGGACTGTTGATTGAAGATGTTTCTCATTGACTGAGGACCCTGGGGTCCTCAGCGCGCCTAACTCTTACCACTAATCCACAGTCTTGCTCCTAAAGCAGGCGTAAGAACACGAGTAAAATTTGCGCCACCCCCCGCCTGTCCTCTGGACGTCGCGTTATCGTACTTCAAAAGACACATTCCTGACAGCTTGTTTTCTTACCACTTGGCTTTCGCATCAGGACATTCTTAAATGTGTATGCACGCACGTACGGGTGAGTGCGTGTGTGCGAATTCTTGAGTATGCGATGATTTGCAGGGAACTCGATAGCTACAGCCGAAGGTCATGTTGTGAACGAATTCAGGGGTAACCCTTGGATGAGGGGTATTTTGAACAGGCGTGAAGAAGGGTTTGAGAACACTATGGAGAGGTCATCATCATGAGTGGCACAACCCGTCTGAGTGCCCCCTCACACTCTCCAGCAGGTAGGACGTTTCCAGGGTCCTGGTCTACCAACGGGCATCTGCTCACGTGCCAGCTGCAGAGACTTCATGGCTCTCCAGCCGCCAAGCTTGGAGCAAGGGCAGGCTGTGAGCCCGGGGACAAGGTCGGGCGACTAGAGCGCAAAGCGCAAGAGGTTTGAATGGTCCAGATTCAGTTCTTGTGCTTGACTCTAAGGAGAAATGCAGAAAGCCAAACAGAGGCCCCCGGGTGCAGTCCATTACCTCACCCTACATCATCTGGGCCTGGGCCCGCATCAAACGGGGAAGTAGCCGAGATGGCATTCTATGATGTTCTATTTGCCCTACAGCCCCTTCTCCCTTGTATTTCTTTTTTTTCTTTTTTTTTTTTTT